ATAACGTGACACGACAGTCTTGCGCCGACAGCAGACTCCTCATGCTCGAATCGAATCTGATGCAGTCCCTGTGTCGGTGGCTCTCAATGGAAATAATTTAACACCGATACCTCTGTTTCCCGAAGATCATCGTTTACAATTCCACCGTTAGGATATATTCAAATATACAAGGCTGCTCGACCGAGGCATTACAAGCTGTCGATTCTAACAACGTGTCCGGTTCTGTATACGTTTCTAGGACAGTTGTCCCAAAACTGAACATAGACGTTTCTGTTTAACACTAAAACTACCAGAGCGGTCAAATGACCCATGGCTGATGTCTTCTTTTTGCAATTATTAGAAAGGTAACAAACGTTTCTCTGAGAAATTATTCAGAAATTCATTTAGCTCTATGAAAATTCAATTGTTCAATTAAAGTGTGAACAGATGCACTCTTGGAGTTTCTGTAGCGAAATTTTCAAAAGTCAGCTAAACTGCTCGGTAGTTTCAGTGTTAACGATGACAACGGTACGAGAACTTGTAATACTCCGGCAGAGGAAAGTCGTGTATCATTGTTTACGTCAATGACAACTCATGCAATAGTTACAGTTTTGTCTCTTCGGAAAAAATGGTCGGTATCTCATACCGCGTGATCTCAACAAAGTATACACACATACAGACACACGCGCGTACGTGTATTTATATTTATACACATTTATACATACAACGTGTACACATATAAATACACGCACGCACGGTTGCTTATCATTTGGACCGGAAGAACTTAACTAATACCACGGCCGGGTTTTTAATATCAGTTCGACTTCTCTTAATCGCATCGACATGCTTCAAAGTATTCATTGCGGGTGGAACGAATATAGTGACAGAGATATATACGTATATAACTCTTGAGCGCCGTGCGTTTAATCGTTTACAAAGAAACATTTCTCCTGCTTCGACCCGAGAGGCGCTCGAAACTGAATAATCTATAACTTCTGCGTACAATGCAAGTCCGTCGATCGTTTGTAGGCAAGAGACTGCTTGCAAGCAATGGAAAACACATTCGGTGGTTTCTACCAAATAAGATTATGGCCACAGATGAGGTATAAGATAGATTTAACGCCCAACATATTATCAGATCATTCGATAATTTCGATTCGGTAATGTAATGTAACAGAGACTAAACACAGTGTAAGCGATATACTATCAATCGATTAAGAACAACGTAAACAACAGTACTATCTCGTCTAGTTCGATACGTGTAACGTCTTCCCGTGATCTGCTACCGGAACCGCGTGCTCGACAACATCACAAACCGTTTCGTTGTACGCATCCAAGACAACTTTGCCCGGTCGAATTGGATGCGTACGATCGGTTCCCGAATACAAAGAGTACAAGAGACCATAGATAATTCCCTCTATCTCGACATCAGTCCTTCGGTATTCCCGGACACTATCCCATAGAATATTAGGTCTACCCTACGCCCTCGCTTCGATCACTCAAACAGGACACTTGGGTCTCGGTTAAGTCACTATACTTGTTCCATCGGCAAAAAATTCAGACGGATATCTCGTAAGCGGCGTACGTTGTTCTGTCCTCTTTGGAACGGGAGACGCTATGTGCCGGCAATTGATCGTATACCATCTCCGTCCAGCCGCAGGATGGTGCGGAGACGTTGAAGCTGGGCTATACGGATATCTCGTAGTTCATGTCGTAGACACTGGCCCGGTCGGTGGTCGGCGTGGTGGGCCGTTGCGATCTG